TTAGCTTATGACTTTTTTAATCTGAGCGATATCGTAATCTAATCTAATCTAAACTACGAGTAGATATATTAAAACTCGGGTATTCGAAGGTGATTATCATTTTTTAGTTTCTGAATACTTTGACCGTTGAAGCTGCATTCATTTTTTTTACCATATCATTGTATGATTCCTATTGTTCGCATCGTAGATTCGATATCCGAGTATGTTAGTTTTGGAGATTTTTATTTTGGTTTTTGGTAGTAGATAAGACAGACATTGATTTGAGAAGCACATTTGCAATTTGGTTACCAAAAAGAGAATGAGTTCCTCTCTCTCTCTCTCTCTCTCTCTCTCTAGATAGTTGTAAACTAATTACTATTTATAGGCTATTTGTAATAATGGGGAGTGTGGAAGTTTGAGTTTGGTCAGTCAAACAAACTTGTTCTGAAAATGTTTGCTTTCGTCTATGGATGTGTAGGATTTGATTGGTATTGAAAAGTTAGATGGGAATCTATGGGGTGTTTGATTTTCTAACTTCATACTTAGTTGGAAAGAGCACCGCGAAATATAATATGTTGCGGAGGAGCGAATTAAGCTAGATATTGTGTTTTCTTACTGAGGAAATCTGAAATTGATCCGGATTAACAGCTGATAGATTCGGATTAGAAGGCTAGATATATTATTATCTTCCAGTAAATTGCAGATGATGTTGCCACTAAAAAGTTACAATGCATGGTACTAATGGAGATTGCAGCGCTGATCCTCGATTTTATGTTACAGGATTCCCATTTGGAACTTGGAATGACTCATCGAATTTTCCAGAGAATTTAGGTGGCATGAGAAGAGACCAAGATCATGATGGGAAATTATTTTCGGTTGATCAGGTACTTAATTGGTGTATGTTGTTTGAATTTCCTCAAATTTTTGTTGCATATTTAACTCATTCTGAAGAAACTTTCATGGTTAGAACGGAGAGCTTGAAAACCGGTTTCATGTATTGTCCCATCACCTGAGTTTACCAAAAACTTCAGCCGAAATTGCCATGGAAAAGTTCTTGCAACTTCAAGATTCTGTACCTTGCAAAGTTAGAGCAAAGAGAGGTTGTGCCACTCATCCTCGAAGCATTGCCGAAAGAGTAAATATTTTCCTTTATCTGTAGCCAGCCAGCTAAAATTTGTTGTTAGTCAGCACATTTGTTCCTCATACATTTAATTAGTACATCCACCATGAAACTTCATTGTGGTTTTTCCGTTTTAGTCTTTTGCTCGAACATAGATGACGCTAAGGGGTAGTTTGTTTACAGGTGAGAAGAACACGGATCAGTGAACGAATGAGGAAACTACAAGACCTCGTCCCGAACATGGACAAGGTAGAATGTCACATAAGCATTTTAGCCTCGAATCAATTCTCTAATAATTGTGTTCGGAAACTCATGATATTCAACTTTTTCAAATTCCTGGCAGCAAACCAACACGGCAGACATGCTCGATTTGGCAGTTGATTATATTAAAGATCTTCAGAAACAGTTCAAGGTACCAAACAAGTTAAATCGAGAAATATTGCACTGTGGAAAAAGCATCATCAGTTGTTACTCACAAAAGTTTATTATTTTGCAGACGCTTAGCGATGTTAGAGCAAACTGCAAGTGCTTAAACATGCAGAAGCCGGTGTCGAATCAGGTCGTTTGACGTGCTTTTCTGTATAAGATCATCAGGAAAGTGATGGGGGAAGTGGGTTGAAAGTTTGAAGCCACATAATATATTCTCTTTTATGCAGTGAAGTTCAACTAGAAATTATATCCAAAAAGAACTCCAAAGCAATAGGTAGAAGGAGCTGTTTAGATAATGTAGTTTTTGATGGGGTGTGATGTAGAAGGTTGGTAGAATTTCCACCACAAACCTGGAGGGGACCAGGTCTTGTAACCTAAACGAGCAGCTTGAGTTCTTATCACATAATTAATATGTGAAATAAACATAACAAGAATGTACAGGACATGTTCGAATAATGAAATCCTTTGATTTCAATTTTTCTGTTTGCATATCATTTTATGTAAGTCATTTCGCACTCCCCTTTTTTCCATGCATTTCACTTCTTTTTCTTGCTTGTGGATCAAACGAGAATTACGGAACTGAAACAATAAGATGAGTACATGAAGAAAAAGCGGGAACATGAAATCAATATTTGTTTTGTTAGTTAAGTTAGACATTTCGTTATGTGAAATCAATATTCAATTAAATATCAAACTCGTTATGTTGCTTAAACTCATTACATTGTTTCTTATTGTATATCTTACATAAATATAGACAATTAAATATTAAACTCGTTATGTCGCTCACAAATATATACTGATGTTGCATTTAATATGAGATTTGCCACAATAAGCTATCGAACTTATGAAAAAATATATGTTGTTTTTGCATCCAGAACAACTATAAATATGTGATTTTCTGTAATTAAGGAAATTTCAGATCATTGTGATGAGATGAATAATGAAATAACTTACAAAATTCTGGAAGTTGACGTAACTTAAATTACTGGTGCATGTCTCTTTATTTGGTTACAGACTTCTTTTGCCTTTTTATACTGAGCCTTATCCTGTTTTGAAAAGGACTTTATAGGACTTGAAGAGTTTGCTTGTCCTTATTTGGAAGAGACAAAGGAACAGTTATGTTTGCCGGAACTTAAGAAGGTAATGACTCTGCTCTCGATCGGCTCGTTTGGTGCTTAGAGCTGTATACTCCATTATATTCAACCAATGTTAAGGGGGGACGGGTTTTCGAATTTTATTCGATTGAAAGTAGAAGGTTGATTATTTATGAAAAAAAAACTTATTTTTCTCGATCATGTCATCTTATTAGGATAACTTATAAATTTAGAAAGTTTTTCGCATTTATAATGTTGAGATATTGAATCTGATCAGTCATCCAATGTAATAGACATCAAAAGTGATCATAGTTCTAAGAATTAATTTCATAAGTAGAACATACTACTAGATTGCCCACCTTGCAATTTGTTGAGCATGGACTTTACCCGATAAAGGGGGTCGCGAGCCCTGTGAGGGAAATGTAATTTATGTTGGAAGATGTTGATTTCTATTTTTCCCAAATTTGGAATCTTATTATATTATGAAAAATACATGACTACCAATACATGACTACCCAAGCTTTTAAAAAAGTCCTCCTAAAAAAAATTTGTGTTCGATTCACGATATTTTGAGCTTATGATCAGAACCGTGTATATTATAATTCAATATGTAAAGATTATTTTAGTAAACATAATAAAATATGAGACAGTTTAGTCATCGAATTGTATAAAAACATAATGTTAAATCAGTAAAAGTATTATAAGTCGTCAATCTATTTGCTACACTTATTGACTAAATGACCGATTATTATATAAATCAAGTATAAAAGATTATGAAGAGGACTTCTTTTAAAACTTTGAGTTTCCAAATATTGTTTATAAATTATGCTTTTCCTTTAGTCTTTTGAGGAAAGGAAAACTTGTAGTGTTTTTTTTTTGGGAAAATTTGAAATAGGTCCAATTTTATAACCTACCTTTTGAAATAGGTCCAATTTTTAGTGATTTTGGACTTTTGAAATAGATCCAATTTTTAGTTACTTTGGACTCATTTCAAAAAATCCCTTTTTTTTTTAGTAAACTAGAAATAGCATTTCAAGGCAAAAGTCAACAAAGTATAATAAAGCAAATATACACAAAAGGTCCAATTACATGAAAATCACAAAACAAAAATATATGGACCCCAAAGAAAAAAAAGACAGGGCTCAGAACACACTTTGAAACCCAAAAATAGAAACACACCAAAACAAACCTATCCTCCTGCTACCAACGATGCCGCCAGAACAGTGCCTCCCAACCACCGCTAGCCAACATCCCCAACGGTTGCTACAAATCAGCTCCCCAGAAGTGAAGAAGAGGGGGATTATGGCATCCTGCAACGAACACCCCTTAATTGCATCCACGGAAAGAAGCAAGCCAATAGGAATAGGTGACCCATTACTGATAGAGTCAATGAAGGCAAACAAAGTGAAGGTGTTGGTGCAAACACCCAGCCGCAGCTTTACACACGTTCCAAAAGCACCAAAACAAAGCATAGTGAAGAGAAGTGTATGTAGATCGGATTTGGTGTAGAAACGATGAAGTATGGAGCAAAATAGGAAGATGATTGAAGAAAAGGGGAGAATCGAAATGAGAAGGATTGATGAAAAACATGGACATGGATGGACGCAAGGAGTGGAGGAGAAAGGGATTTGATGTGGGGGTTTAGAAAGATGAAATGAATTTGAAAGACAACAACAATCGAGATGGCAATCAGGTGGACAATGAAGCAAATGGAACCGGAAAGAATGAAAAAAGAAAAAAGAGAGAACAAGGGTGGAATGCTACCGAACCTGGCAACGGCTAGCCCCGGCAACTACAACAAGGTTTGACAAGAAGAGAGAACACTCACACAACGGTGAGAAGAACTCTCACGAAGAGAGAAGAACAGGAAAACTTGTAGTTAGATTGACAAATGAGAAGAAATATTATGTAACTCAATCATGTTTTTCGATTGCAATATCTAGAAGAGAATCGAACTTTGTACATTTTACTAATCCTAACCTCTTACACCAGCTGTGCTACCAATAAAGCACTCGAAGAATCTATGTTGACAATAAAAAGTTTACTGAACTAACGACCTAGATCCAGCCACTTGTACCGAAACTATTGTACCAGCAAGTGTTAAACTCTTCTCATAGTGGGGAGATTTTTCAGTATGACCGTCACATGAGACGGTACACCACGTGTCTCTATATAAATGGTGTGATATGTGTGTTAAAAGGTTAATAACTTAAAAATTAAAATTTTCCACCACTTACATTAAAACACGTGGTGTATCATCTGTGTCCCATGACAACTAAAAATTTCTCCCCATGATGAACTTAAAAAACCGTTAATGGGACCCGCACTAGCCGATGGTTTCCCCGCCTCTTCCTCCTCACTTCCTCTCTTTCTTCCACAAATGATAATACCACCAATGTCCACCCTCCAACAAACTCTCCTCTTCCTCTCAAACCCTAATTTTACCACAATTCCCATTCTCTCCCCCTCTCTTTCTCTAATTTTCCCAACCTACCCCAACCCCTGCTGCTGCAGCCAGCACAAGCTTTTCATTTGCAAGTGGATCCAATAAAATGTACCCACATGAATGATCTGAAAAATTTACCATCATCAATTCATGTAATTTTATTATTTTATGTTCCAAACTGTGGGGTTGAGAATCAATCGGTTGGGAGCCCGGTTGTGGCTAGGATGTCGAATTTATACGGAGATTATAACCAGAAGATTGATTATGTGTTCAAAGTGGTGTTGATTGGAGATTCGGCGGTGGGGAAAACACAGCTGCTCGCGCGATTTGCTAGAAATGAATTCAGTGTGGACTCGAAAGCCACGATAGGGGTCGAATTTCAAACGAAAACACTTGTTCTCGATCAGAAAACCGTCAAGGCGCAGATTTGGGACACGGCTGGCCAAGAAAGGTGCGACATTGCATGCCTTAATGATCAATATTTTTGTTATAGCTACAAGATCTTTTTTTTTTTGAAATTTAGATGTTGATGGGAAAATTATAATGGGATTATTTTCTACCAATCATAATGCATGCTCATTTCTAGGTTTTTGGATTTTTTGTTCAATGGCAACCTTAAATTTTCTTAAACAAAATTACGATTGACCAAAAAAATGCAAGGCAGTGTGTGATGATCGAAAAATTTGTAAAAATTTGGTCTAGCCCTTGGTCTGAAAAATATGAATACTTTGTGAGTTAAAAAAAATTAAAGATATAGAATGATTCTTTAGGCACAGTGCAGGGATGTAAGTTAAACTCATCTCGCTGCAATGTTGGGAAATTCGAAACCTAGTCTGAGACAGATATTATGCCCTAAAGAGTATTAGTGAAATGGGCGAATACAAATTTATATGTATAGATTTAGAGGTTTGTAAGTAACCCTTGGTTCATACGTTTCCTTTATCAAGTCTTCGATTTTATGCATTATATGTTCAAAAATGCAAGTTGCACACTTGTTCTTTGTTGGGACTCTATTAACCCACTATGTGTGGATGGAATGATCACTGAGTTAGATCTCATTGTTTGCTTATCTAGGATTGGTTTCTTGTTATTATCAGGTGTGACTGTATTTCGATGTAGATGTTAATACGAAACATATTTATGCTTATCTCTTATGAAGGGGGATCACTTAAATGACAACTGCAAATGGATATATCCATACCTTATGATTGTGTGGAAGTTATGAAATTCATGACAGATGAAGCTGCATTCACAATGAAAGGGATGAGAACTTGAAAAGGAAATAAAACTTTGACGCTCTTGTTTTTTTGGTTTCTTTAATATAGTGTTGATTTCCATTTGAAGATATAGTTTGTGCTCATTTCCTTGGGAGTTTGATTTTACTTGCAATGTCATACCCTCCTAAACTCATCCCCTCTAGTCCCTCTTCAGGTACAGAGCAGTCACGAGCGCATATTACCGAGGTGCAGTAGGAGCAATGTTGGTTTATGACATGACCAAGCGTCAATCGTTTGATCACATGGCTAGGTGGTTGGAGGAATTGAGGGGGCATGCCGATAAGAACATCGTTATAATGCTCATCGGCAACAAATGTGACTTGGGGAGTCTTCGAGCAGTGCCAACTGAGGATGCACAGGAGTTTGCTCAAAGAGAAAACCTATTTTTTATGGAAACATCCGCTCTTGAAGCCACCAACGTTGAAACTGCGTTTTTGATGATCCTAAGGGAGATATACCGGATAATGAGCAAGAAGACACTTGCTGCCAGTGACCTAGATGGCGGAGAATCAGGTCTCCTAAAAGGAACAGCAATTATTGTTCCCGGTCCAGATGGGGATGGTTCTAGGAAGGGTGGGTGCTGCTTCTCCTCCACTTAATTTTTTTGAACTTCATTTTCTCTTTTCAATTTATCGTGAGGGAAATATGTTTCGTTTGGGCTCCTCCATCCATTTCATCAAAGCTTATACTTTGTCGGAAAGGAGATTGTAGGTAATGTATGGCAGTGTTTGATTGTATTGAACAGGTGAGGAACCTACAAGCCTAATTTCCAGAAAACAGCCTCCAATTGTCTCTGGAATTGGAAATCTGTTTCTTCTATTTAGAATTAATATAGGAACTTTTGTACAAAATTTCTCAGAATTAAAGTTTGGTTTGGATTTGGTCGCTTTCAAGGGCAGAATTCAAGCATTTATCTTTTATGTTTTCTTGCATTTTCATATGAGAAGAGCTTTAAGGTTTAGGAGGAGCTTCTCCTCAAAATACTTATTGGCCTATTCACAGAACTTCATGTTTATAATCGAAACAGTCCATATTATATATCTTAGCAAACAGATAGATGATTCATGATGCTTTTACCAAATCCGTTTATCTATTTTATACAGTTTGATGACTAAATGGCTTAGTTTTATTGATTTGTTGTAGAGATGATCTTTGTAGAGTGATTTATAATATGAATCGTTCCAATCATAAGCAAGAAATTCTATGAATAGTCATGAAAGTATTTTAAGGAGTTCCTCCTCAATGCTTGAGGAGCCAAGTCTCCCCTCTGTGCATGTGCCCTGAAAGCATAAACAATCAGAAAGATGAGTATCAAAATCGACAAATGCAGAAATACAGACAAGTCACCGAATAAATCTCTATTTGTTAGAATGCGAAGGCCGCAAAACCATTACAAATCATAATGCTTCTGTCGACTCGAATGAGTGAAACGATACATATGCACTGAGCAAGGTCTGCTTCAGAACCCTTCTCTCAAATAAGTCAAATCATTGTTCATTCTGCTGACAAACATTATGCATCTATTGATTCTATTCCTTTCTAGATGGTATTCAAAATCGAACAAAGCATCAGTATCTATTTTTAAAAGCATCGCTTTCGAGTCTAGTGAGTATGCGTCGCCTTCGAGTTGAGTGAGCGTGCATTGTGTTTGAGTCAGATAGGCTCAGTTCAACCTTTTTACCGTTCGTGTTTTAAAAAAGAGGTTAGCAAAATCAGTGTTTATAATGGAGCATATGAATAAAGTTTTCGAATTCAAATCTTCAGCGTGAAATTTGGAGATCGTATCAAAGTCAGACATGTATAAATTTAGAGACAAATCACGGCTGATGAAGACAATCAAGGTTGAGTAGAACCGTAACAGACAACTATGAACAGCTTACACTCAGTTCATTGTTAGAGGTCCCTGACTAAACACAGAAACTTTTTCCTTTACTTTCTTCCCGTGCTTTTGTCTTTATTTCTCCTTCCAGATGTAGCCTTTCATACTGTAGCTTGTTCTCTCTTGTTATAAAATGTTTTCAATTTCCTCACTCAAAGTTATTTTTTAATTTCTCGTGTCTGGCAATTTACCATAGTTTTTATTTTCTCACGCTTGGATTAATTTATTTTCTCGCATCTTGCAATTTATTTCAATGCAAATTTACTTTCTCGCATTTTATTTTTTAGCAATTAGAGTATTGTAATTTAATTACTTATCAATTTGGTTCATTCGACCAGTTTGTTTGGGTTGATGCGATTCACCTTCTCATACATCTTATCTTATCACATCAACAACTAAATTCGTTCACTCAACTTTCACAAACAACACCCATTCTAAGGTCCTGGCACCTAAGGCATGAAGAACCTTAGACCAAGACAGGTTCTTTCATTGGTCACAATCGTTTGAAAACAGTCAAACAAATCGCAACCAAAATCACCAACAACTTCTCTTTACTCACTTGACTTTAGGCCACAGGTTAGCGCACCTGCAACATAAACGAGGAGGAGTAAGGCCATCTCCAACCGAAGGGGTTATGTTTAGCCTCCGTCTAGATTATAGTCCTGCAATAAATTATTTTTTAATGAATAGTGTCAAACCATATTTATCTACCATCTCCAACCAAAGGAGGCTATTTTTTAGCCCTCTTAATAATTTACTATTTTAACTTTGTTCTTTAATTTATTGGTTAATTGAATTAAACTACCTTATTAAAATAAGGTTTCTGGACATATTTTGAGTCCCACTTGTCGCTAAATGAATAAGCCCTAGATTTCTTATCATTATATAATCTCAATAATTTTTTTGGATAAAATTTCGAGTGACACGTGTTGCTAAAGTGAGTAACTCTCCATATTTATTATCTTTACGTAATCTTAAAGATCACAATTTAATTGAAATACATTAATTCAACTTAGACATTAACCAAAGATCACAATTTGGACATTATCTTGCATGTTAACTAGGGGTGGAATTTTTTCCCGAAAATCCTGAACTGTCTCAAACTCGTTCCAAAATTTGACTGAAAAATGCCTGAACCAAATTTCTCAAAAAATTCGGTACCCGAAATCAAACCGATCCTGAAAGTTTCGGCTTGAGATTTAGCCACATCTTTGAAATGTTAGGTAATCCCGAACCAAATATTATATATATTTATTTTTAATTTATAATTAGAAATTACTTGGATCGTTAGATTGGTTAAGATCTAATCCAACCGTCCATTGTGAGTTAGGTCTTTTGTATTCCTCTCACTTCCTCATACTCTCTCTCAGTTGCTCACTCTCACTCTCTCGAAAAACTAGTTCGAACGTTGCTCCAGCCACTCCTCCATCGAGTCACGCCGCTCCTCCGTCCACTTCAACAGTGCTCATTCGGCCACACACACAAAGACGCAGGAAGACACGAATTCGACACCAATCGAGTCCCAAAATCCAGGTTTCTGATTTTCACTGGGCTTTTGTTCTTTAGGGTTTAGGGTCAAATTTCATGTTGATTAACTTGATTTCTAAGTATTTTGTTGAATGTGTGAGAGTTTGAGGATTGTGGGTTTTAGATTAGGGTGGGTGTAGTGCATGACCTGCATGCCTTTGGGAGGATGGGTGCACGAATTTGTAGAATAAAATTATAGGGGATGGGGAAATAGGACCTGCACGAATTATAGGGGGTTTTAGATTAGGGTGGGTGCAGTGCAAGACCTGCAAGCCTTTGGAAGGTTGGGGTCACGGGTGCACGAAGTTGTGGGTTCATCGGATTAGGCTCAAATTAAGATTAGGGTGGGTGGGTGCACGAATTTGTAGAATAAAAGTATAGAGGATAGTGGAAAACTGGAAATAGGACCTGCATGAATTGTAACGGGATGGGTGGGCTGCAATTTTAAGAGTCCCGCACGAATTATAGGGGATGGTAGAAATAAGACCTGCAATTGTAGGGAATGGTGGAAATAGGATCTGTAATCAATGTTTGATCATGTTTTTGTGTTTGATTATGTTTATGTTTTTGTGAATGAATCAGTGAAATTGCAGTGTTTGATTATATTTATGTGAATGAATGAATTATATGTTTAATCATTGCTCAGTGATTAATATATGCTCAATTTCTCATTGCTCAGTAATTAACATATGCTCAATTGTTCAATAGCTCAGTGATTAATATATGCTCAATTGCTCATTGCTCAGTGATTAATATGAATATGAGATATACGAATATTAAATATATGATGAACTGTGGTTGTGATATATTATTGTGCATTGTTAGGATGGACGGGTCTAGTAATGGTAGCTAATCATAATCTACTAGTACACCTAGGATCTCGGTTTTAGTAAAACGAAAGCTACAATACATTCGAACGGATTACTATGAAGATTATTATGATGATGATCCGGATATGGATACTGATATAGGGTTAGAAGAAATAGATGAAGAAATAGAGGAAGAAGAAGGTGAGGATAGTGTTGAATTAGACATACGGCAGATGCCTTCGGTGGCCACATTAGCAAGTAGGGTGGGTCAACGGAAAAAAAAGTAAGGTGGGCCACATTAGAGCTTCCCTAACACCTAGAACGGTTGAGGCTTTGGTATGTACAAGTGATTAGCTAAGGGGGAATGAAATGTCCTTCTACAAGAAGCCTACAATTGACGACCTCATGTTCTACGAAGAACTTGAAGACTTGGAGAAGGGCAAATGAAGTATTTGATTTCATGTTTTTATTTTCTTAGTATTCATTATTTATAGTTTTATAATTTATACATTCACTTTCTAAATATATTTTGTGTTTTATTGGTTTTATTGTTTTAGAGTTGCCTAATTTGGGAAGTGAGAAGAATCCCACACAAAGTGAAATGCCACCTCTTCCACCACCTTAAGTTCAACGCCGCCCATCACTACCTCCGCAACCACCCATTTCATGAGTATCTACACCAAGAGGAAAGAGGATTCAATTATCAATAAGAGGAAGGGGTCCACCATCTACGACAAGGGGTCATTCATTAACAAAGGGAAGGGGCCGAAGAGGCGAAAGTGGATGAACTTACTTAAGCGTCATTTTGGTTGCATGCACTTTTTTGCTTATAAACTATGTTTTGCTTTTGGTTTGTAACTTAATCTAAATTCTTTCGGAAGTTTGGCTTGTAAAACTTAACTTATTTAATTTTGATTGCATGCACTTTAAATTAACTAGTTTGGTAGACAATTGTGAACTTAAGCTTAACTTGTTAGTTGTTGCTTCATATGAAAATTGAAATTGTGAGATGAGATTGTGGTGAACTTTGATTTAATTGAATTCAGGTGATTGTGAAACAGGTGGGCTTCCGGTAGGGGGTTGCAAGCCTGCAATTGTGAATTTTTTTTTTCCTGAAAAAAAGGGTGGGCTCACTGTTTAAAGAGCTTAAAATTGCAAAAAGTTTAAAAAGCCCAACATTTTGGGCTTCAAGGCCCACTCCTGAAGTGACCCGAAATCCAGAAACAGTTTTGGGTATCCCGAATTTCAGGAATTGCATATTTTGGTTAGGTTTTGGGATATAAAATCTCATCTCGAAATGTTTTGAGTTGGGATTTGGGTTGGGGGTTTTGGTTCGGGATCCCGACCCGAACCAGCCCTAATGTTAACCAACTTAGACATTAATTCAAATATCACAATTTAATTGAAATACAACTTCTTAAATTTAAAGACTACAACAACTTAAATATTAAAGAGTACACAACTTAAATATTAAAACTACAACAACTTAAATTTAAAGACTACAACAACATAAATATTAAAGACTATAACTAATTATAATAATGATCTTCATCCGCCATTGTTGGATTATAGTCGGATATTGTAAACAACTCCTATCGGGCTATAATTTCCCTTTTTTTCTATCAAAATATGCCTTACTCATTGGAGTATAATTCATTGTCTTTTTCCATGATCCTAT